GACATTTGGGTCTTTCTGGGCAGCATTGTAATAAATGGTAAAAGCATAGCTTCTGTTGATTCTGACAGTTACACAGTGTCTATAGCCATCCTTTCTAATCTCTGCATGGCCCCTGAAAGCATGAGTGCCATCAACCTTAAGACTCCCACAGTGCTTCTTCCTTTCTTTCTTTTTCCCCTTTTACTCAGCTCCATCTTTCAAATCATCCCAAGTCATTGTGGGCATTCCTCTAACCCGTCTCTCACACATTCCTTTCCTCCTCTGTTTTCACTTAAAATGCAAGTTCAAGGGGCTGAGAGCTTGGTTAAGCGCATTGATTACTCTTCTGGAGAACCAGGATTCTATTCCCAGCACCCATATGACAGCTAACAGTAGTTTGTAACTCCAGTTCCACGGGGGATCTGATGCCTGCATTTGGCCTCTTCAGGCGCTACACATATTGGTACACACACATGCAAACAAATCATCCAAATGCATAAAAAATCCAAGTTCAAGTCCTTAATCAGAGCCGTGTTCCCACACAACTCCAGTACTTTCTAGCTGCCCTTTGACTTAAAGTCTCCATCTTCATAGAGTTTTCCCACCAATTCACTGCAATATTATACTACAGAGCTAACTAACCCAACACTGTCTACTCAAACATCAAATTATCAAGACACTCAATCATAGACTTAACTCAGGTCTTTCTTCTACCTAAAACAAAGAAACAAAAAGCTTGTCTTTAGGGCAGGAGAGATGCCTCTGCTGTTGTGATGGTTAGTTAATTTTTTGTTTTGTTTTATTTTGTTTTGTTTTGTTTTTTATCAACTTGACACAATTTAGAGTCATCTCAGTAGAGAGACTCTCAACTGAGATGCATGCAAGTCTATAGGACATTTTCTTAATTAACCATCGAGTGGCAATGCCACCGATTTAGGGGCTCCTGGGCTATGTAAGAAAGCAGGCTGAGCAAACCTTGGAAAGCAAGCCAGTAAGCAGCACTTCTCCACAGTCTCTGCTTTGGTTCCTGCTTCCAGGTTCCTGCCCGGCTTGAATTCCTGCTTTGTTTTTTCCCAGTGGTGGGCTGTGATTGAGTCATATACATCAAATAAACCATTTCCTCTCCAAATTGCTTTTGGTCATGGTCTTTATCACAGCAATCAGCAGCAAACAGGACAGGAGTTATGAGAACTTGCTTCTTTCACAGAGAGTCATAGTTCAATCCCAAGCACTCACATCGGACCTTCCTACACCGTCTAATTCCAGATGCTGGCAATCTGATGCCCTCTCTGAGTCCTTAATCACCTGTATGAACTTTCAGACAGACACACACACACACAGACACACAGACACACACACACACACACATACACACACACACACAGAGAGAGAGAGAGAGAGAGAGAGAGAGAGAGAGAGAGAGAGAGAGAGAGAGAGAGAGAGAGAACAATTTCCAAGAGCAAAACTGACTGGGTTAGGTTGAAATGAGCAATTTAAATATATGATATGTTCTTCCCTGCTAAGTAATATTTCCTTAAATACATAACACTCCCATTCTCCTGAAACTTGTTCCATGTTTCTATCTGAGAATAATTTGCTACTATAAGAAAAATACTATTGTGTTCACATGAAATCCAGACTGGGAACCATGGTGAAACAGAGTATGGTGGAACAAGAGAATCTAGATTAAATGTAAGTTAAGTATATTTTTGTGCTGCCCAAGATAGGGTAATGGGATGAATGCTAGTGCACACGGTACACGTTTGAAAATCTAACAATGAAATCCACCATTCTGTACAATGAATATACATTAGTAATTCTAAAAAGAGGGATAGGAAAGAGGCTACACAGTGTCTTAAGGGTAGAACAAAGTGTGCTATGCTCAAGCAAATGGCATCCTATGATGGCATAGTTTGCAAGATTATACATTTGTAAGTACGCTGAACCTCTTGACACAATTGTCCACAGCCATGGTGTGCATTTCTTAGTTATCTAAAGCAAGTACTGCCTTCACATCTTATGACTGCCAAGGGTAACTACTTGTAAATTGTAACTTGGCCAAGACAGTCTCTTTTTCAGTTATTTTTTGAAATGCTCCAAATACTCTGCTTCACATCATAATTTTTTCACATACAACTTTAGTATGATTTCTGCCTGGGATTGTTGTGACCACAGTGTCCTTAAATGGTGGCTTTCTATCACAAGGAAAGCTATCTTCCTCTCCCTCCTACTCACGTATTCAATTGTTGATTTACTATTAAGGTAGACATTTGTTTCATGCTGTGTCATACACTATCACCATCATTACCACTCTTGCTGAACTTGACTCACCTGTAGTCATTACTTATTTCTCTGAAGTGGCTCCTGTGTTTTGACATTCTATTTTTTACTTTTTGTCAATGGAAAATGACCCAACCTCATCTTATCCTTTTCCTACCCAGGTCTGTAATCAATAATTTCTCAAAAAGTCCTGATCACTTGCATTAGGGAAATTGTATTTAGAAACAAAGATTTGGATCCTTGGTGTGTCAATTACTTTTTTGTTATTACATCTGTCATTGTTTCTAGCCCCACTTAGCAGACAGATTCAGAACACACATACACATGTATTTATCCTTTTGTATTTCTATGTATCTCAACACACACATAACAGTTCAAACTGATATCTGTGATATCTCAGGACTTAGTCTAGATTTTCCATTTTCTATACTTACATATCATTTTTCAACAGTGAGAAATACAGGTCTCAGTATCTATAGTATATTTACTTGTTTATTAGCTAGCTCTTAGTGTAGTTAATAAGTACTTTCAAAATTGCAATCATGCCATGAAGTATAATATTTCTGCATAGTTCTCTTTATCTTGATTTTATGGTGTACAGTCTAGGAAGAACTACACTGGAAGAAGAATTCACTTGGAGAAACGCCACTTTCTTTTTTACCTATCCACTCTCATCCATATTCTTGCCACGTGTTCTCACCTACAGTCAGAAAGTTACCAATCTCATTAGTGTCTAACTTTTTCTTCCTGTATTTTTTTTGCACAAATTAGCAGACTGCCTGATTTATTATAGCTCTTTATTTCTTACAAGAAATATTACATTCTAGTGACACCCTTTTGAACTTTGGTTACATGAACCTAACAATTCACATTGTCAAAATTTCCACATTAACTTCTAGACATTTTCCTTAATCCCATTTTTTTCCCCACAATTACAGGCTATCCTCTTGTGTGGATGATCTATAGTTTTTTCCACTATTCACCTATTTGGGGCTATTTATGTTGTCTCAATAATTATAAAACTATAAACAACCCTACAATAAGTAGCTTTATGTGTGTATTGTTTAACAAGATTGGGAACAGATCTGGAATTAAAAGTTTGATATTGTTTCTTGGTCTAATTGTATTTTAGAACAAATGGCTCAATTTAATTTGAGATCACTTTGAATAATAAAAATGTTCTGTTAAATGATTCTAACTATATGTTACTTGCCTTTGTTTCTCTATACTGAGTGCAACTTCTGATACAGTCTGATTCAGTAAATCTTTCTTTGGCTTCTAGAACAAACATTTAATTCTGAAAAGCTTTCCTTGTCTACTTCAAATTTAACATGTTTCTCACTGTCCATTCATTAAGAATGTTATGACATTTATTAGTTTTTGCTTAAAACCAAATCCATGTTTATAGTTTATAGTTATGAAAATTCATTATTACATTAAGCAATTCATCATTCAGAGATAAGAGATAGCAATGATAACCTGCATCCCTAATCTTGCTTCTTTGACCTCCTACATATGGAGATGCAGTGGCAAAAGCAACACATGGTCAGGGGTCTGTCTGTATCCGAGGATGGGCAGGCCTAGGTGTAGGGACTGTTCTTCTTCCTGATGGGAGGTGTACATCTCTACTAAGCGTCCTGAAGGTGTGGGGTTCCCAGACCTCCCAAGTCTCTAACTCCTGCAGAGCAGGTGTTGAACATTCCCTCAGGCTGCTACTCAGTCCAATGGGACTCTTTCCATGATTCTGCCTCTACTCTGGGTCTAGAAAGCTCTTGTTTGCCCAGATTAATTCATCAAGAGATTGCCCAAGCATTTGGAATCTGAGAACTAAAAAGTGCTGGCTACCTTTTCCCTTAGTAGTGCCTACAAATTTCTGTACCAAGAAGTAGACATCCAACCAAGGTTCAGACAGCTGCTGATTAAGGGTCTCCAAGTTTTGAGGAGATGGTAGTCTCAGACATTACAATGTCAGCAGATTAAACTGAGTGACTCCAGGTAACAAAGAACCTTTTCTACCAAAAGCCAACTTCTGGCACAGTAAATATATGTCTAGCCTATGTAAATGTATGCCTTATCTGTGTAAATATATGATCGCCTAAACAAATATGTGTGTCACCTATGTAAATGTAGACTCACATAAATGTATGTTTCATCTGTGTAAAGTACATCTCACCCCATGCAAATGTATGCCCGCCTCACCCGTGTTAATATATGCATCATGATGTAAATGTATGCCTTACCTATGTAAATGTATACTCACATATATATAAATGTATGCCCACCTATGTATAGGGTGCCTCACCTACATAAATATATGCCTCATTTGTGTAAAAATAACTCTCGCCCACATAAATTCATGCCTACCTATGTAAATGTATGCTCAACTACATATGTATGCCTGTTACGTAAATGTATGTCCTTACCCATGTTTATGCATTGTCACCTTTGTAAATATATGCCCACCTGTGTGCACGTATACCTCACTTATTTGGAGGTACGCTCACCTCCATACATGTATACCTTAATATGTGAATGCATGTCTTCCATGCACTGTGAAATCTATATTGTAAGAGATTTGGTGGGAACCTCACCAACTGGGTCAGAATCGTGAAAGCTGCATCCTCCATATTAGGGGAGTCAAGTCACATAGTAAAGAGTGTCTCTAAATCCAAATAAAGAAAACAAAATCTGTCATAGCACATAGAAGAAGCTTTGAGGTGATACTGTTCTTAAATTTTTACCTCCTCGATCACGGGCAGCTAAACTTTGACCCCTTCTCAGTGTGATGTCCAACTGGTACATTCCGGGATCAGCCAAAGGGACATCTGCATTACTGGTTCCAACTGTATTTATTTTCTGGAAAATAAGAAATATTCAAAACACTAAATTTATTTTCTTTGGTCTAATTTCTCCAATAGGAGACTGAATGCAGTTTAAAACAAATCATGAGAATTATCCAATGAAATCAATCATCACAAACAATGCTCTAAAGGTTTAAAATTCATGAAAGTCTTTAAACTCAAAATAAAAGCATGACAGTAACATAAATATCCTATTTTAACTCTGTTTATAGTTAGCAATTTCAGTATGAAAAACATTGCCTATATATAATGATTATATAATTCACTTAAGAAAAATTAACATAGAAATAGTGTGAAGTAAAAAATACAATGAATGATGAATGGAAAATAAAGATGTGCAAAAGAAGATGACTTACACATAACTGAAAATTAAAATTAAAAGGATTTATTCAGGTGACTGTATTGACTCATTCATTTATGCAAATGTCTCCTGCTGATGGATTATACACTTCTATTTCAGACTCAACATAAAATATGATATAATTATATAGAAATAAATTCTCCCAGCATTTTGACAGTATTTGCAAGAAACAAATTCTCAGTGGGGCTCAATTCTAATGCTTCTTTCTTTGGAGTCAAAGTGCACATGCTATTTATAGATCCAGATTCACAGGGCTGCCTAATGGAATATTTTAAAGAACAACACTTAATACAAATATACAGTTGGTTCATTAGTTTCAGCTAGCTTGTATACAACAGGAGAACTTTCTTTCTTTCCAGGTTTGAGATTATTTAAGATTCTCGTTTCCTTTCCGGTTAAAAGGCAGTGTTTAATTTTAAAACTTGCATGGGTAAGGAAGAGCAGCAGTGAGCACCCTGGCTCCCAGCAACACAATTCACAGGAAAGACAATTATAAAGCAGTGTTAAGAAAACTCTACTAAGATAGAATTCACACACAGCAAAGTCACCCTTTAATTGAATCAGTACTTTATTTGAGGTTTTAAGACCCAGGTAGAAAGCTTCCCTTTTGGAGCAATTATTACTTAAAACAAGAAGCACTGTTACTTTGATTGACACCTGAACTCATCATCTCCCCTCTGGTAACAATGAAAGGAATTCATCTTGTTCCCCATAATACCCATAAACGGTAGCTGCAGTCCCCAGGGCCCCAGGCTGGGAGTTTTGAGCCATCTTTGACTACATTTGCCTCCTACTCACACCCGAATAGCTGCTAAATCTCCCCTGCACTTCTGCATCAGACCCCCACCTGCCTTTGCCTTTAATTCCTGCCAACACTAAGACAAACCAAGTCTTCTCACAGCAGATGAGTGGAAACTAGGCTCAGGCCATATCTCTCAACCTTCCATGACAACGATTCTAGCAGTGTGGGATGTTACCTTTCATGCTCTTCAGAGCCTTACTCAAATATACATGAATGTACATGTTGAGGGATTTATTTGTCAGATTTTAGTTTCCAGTTTGAACAATGTTAGTATATTTTTCTATTATTCACAATGTATTTAAGAAAAATATCACAGGTACTTTTCTGTATTGGCCTCTCTCTCTCTCTCTCTCTCTCTCTCTCTCTCCTTTGATCCCTCCCTCCATCTGTCTTTCATCCCTTCCTCCAACCCTTTGTTTTTTGCCCTCTTTCATACTCCATCTGGCTGTACTGATGTGTAATTAATAAGGAAAATCCTGTTATTTTATGGCATATCATAGAATGATTTGATTATAAGTAAGTCAGTCAATACAGCTCTTACTCAATATTATTAGCCTTTTATATATTTTGTTTTATGGTAAGAACACTTAATAAAATTTCAAATACACAATTCAGTATTTCTGTCAAGCTACATAGTCACCTTCTCTGCATATTGGGTCTCTACACTTACTCCTCTAATAACTGAAAGTTTCTGTGCTTTGACCAGCTTCTCCCCCTTTCCCTGAACCCTCTATATGGTGATCTTTTGTTGTTGTTGTTGCAAATATTTACTCCTGATGTGTCTTCTGTCTTTGATCTTTGCATATGCTGTATGTGGTCAGTAAGCTACTGAGCAGGTAAAGCTGTTTTATTCCCTCTAACTTCTACATTTCCTAGTTTCTTAACACATCATGATAATTATTTTCATAGTTAAAAATATTCTTACAATTTTTATTTTTATGTAGTTTTTCAAACTATTAAATATAAGATTTATATATACTACATGAAATGAAAGCTTTTCTTTTAAATGTATTTTATTAGCTCTTTTAGAATTTTATACAATTATTTTGATCACATTTACCCCCATTCATCCCCTAACTCCCAGATCCACTCCTTACCCCCACATCCTCCCATTTCCATGCCTTTTTAAAAGTCGTACTCACTAAGTACACTTTATGCTGCCCATTTAGCCTTGCGTGTGGGACCATCCATTGGAACGTGGTTGGCAGCCAGAACTTGTAAATTCTCTTTATAACACATTAAGTTGCCACGTACACTTGGATGGATCTACATGTGAATCCCCCCTAATGTTTATTTCTGTGTTCATACCAATGAATTTGCATACAATACTTTGAATTCTAGAACTTTAGCACATGTAGCTACCATAAGTTTTGTTTTATAAAGCTTCTTAAATGTCATTGTAGTTTTATTCTTTCTGGTTCAGTTGGGCCAGGCTGGCTGGGGGTGGACAACTTACTGCTTCCATGATCTACAGCAGTTACTTAGCTTGCCTCTACTCTGGCTTTCTTCTACATTAATAAACAATACTTTGTGAGCTTGAATATATATATAAGATGTCAAAATAGCATCTGGCATAGAGTAATTGCTCAAAAACATTGGTGGTTATTAGTTTTTATATATGAAATGAAAGTCTGATATTCTGATCTAGCCTGCATTGAATTTCTACATCGATATGAGAAAGGTTTATAATTTCAGGCATTACATATTCCCGAGGGAAATATAACTTTCCAGTTCTTTTAGGTCCTGTTTTGAGACCTTTAATAACATGATATTATTTTCTTCATATAGGTCCTGTCTCTATCTAATTTAATTCATGAATGTTCACAGATTTTTTTTGTCTCTATTATAAATGGAATGATTTTTTTCAATTTCCATTTTGATCAGCTTATTTGTAATCTAATGGGCACATGTCACTTTACATATTGATTTCTATTTCCCTTGCAAGTCATGTTTTGGGTTGTCTGTGTACAAAAATATGATCTGCATATAATGTAACGTCTGCTTCCCACTTACTTTGTAATACTTCAGTTGCTTATTTTTTAATCTTGTTGCTTTTCTAAAAGGGTGTTTAGAATAGAACAGAAATTGTGGGCATTTCTGAAATGCATGTGATTTAAATTTTAATTTGTGAGATTGTAATATTATCATATAATTCCCCCACCCGTCCTCCTTGTCCCTCCTGTGATCACTAACACAATGCTCATTAATTTAAGCTTTCCTCTACTCTTCATTTACTTGGGCTTTTAAAATTGACTGATGAATTTTGCAAGAGATTTACACCTAATTTTTGGTTGGTAATTTTTGTAATATTGAATCATCACCGTATTTTAAGAATAACCTCTACTTGGCCTTGTGAATGCATGTCCTTTAATACACAGTTGTGATTATGTTATAACCATGAGCTGTACCTCAGCATATGTGTGTGTAGCTGTTAGTCTTAAACAAGCATTCCCAGCCCCCACACCATGTCAAGCCAGCCATTTTAAACGTGTCTGTGACGTCTGCCTTTCACAGATTCTGTCTGTTTTCCACACTAGACTAGGACTTACGCATCAAGTACTCAGTTGTCACCCTTCCCTCTCCAGTACTGCTGCCTTTGTTCTCCTGATTTCTATGTCCGCCTGCAAAGAAAGTTCTTAAAGACAATGGCTACTTTTTTTTTTTTTTTCGAGACAGGGTTTCTCTGTGTAGCTTTAGAGCCTTTCCTGGATCTCACTCTGTAGACCAGGCTGGCCTTGAACTCACAGAGATCTGCCTGCCTCTGCTCCCCCACCCCTGAGTGCTGGGATTAAAGGCGTGCACCGCCACTGCCCGGTTTCAATTGTTACTTTTTAACATCTTTATTTTCCACTACTATACACTATCTCAAATACCAAATTCGTCATTTTAGATTGTGGAATTTTGAAATGAAAATCTGGAGTGTTTAAGGATAAAACTGAGCATGACTTACAATGGAAGCTTCAGGGACAGATGTCTTCAAGGACACATCAGCTGGGTTTGGAAAAACATAGAGCTACAACCAAGTCAGCCAATCAAAGGACAGTTTGCTCTTTCTCTTTTCTCTGTGCTATCTAATCTGGCTTGGTGCCCTTTTTCCTCGACGAACCTAAGTATGCCCTTAGAAGTCTTTCTAATACAGTGCTTCAGTTAGCTTTATAATGGATAAAAATGGAATTTAAAATGGAACCATATCCTTCAAGGATCTATATGAAAAGAAGATTGAAACACGGAGGTACTCAGCATTAGAAGAACAAGACCCGTTATCACAAGGGGAAGACAATCTGAGGAAGCCGCACAGAGATGACAGGTTCAGGGGCTAAAACTATGGGTAGGATTTTGACAAGTGAATAGTTGGAGAAAGCGGGCAGCAACAAAATCACCCTGAGCCCAGGACTGAGTGACTTTCTATCACTGCTTTGATAGAATGAGAAAAAGTACTGGAGTGTGGTGATACTGAGGAGGCTCTCAGCCCACGAATAAAAAGAAGCCTCCATAGTCTTTTGGAGAGAAAAGTCAAACACAGAGACTGCATTTACCAAATACTTAGTTCCTGTTATTTCCTGTTTCATGCTCTTAGCTAAATGCTTAGATCTTAGAGATGAAGAAACCTCCAGCGTTGCCCTTACAGGGAGAAATGGATGGATGAAAGTAGAGACATTCTGTGGGGATAGAAATTATTTAAAATTTTTCATAATAGTGCGATTGGAGTCACAAGAGCAGGATCTGGTCAGTGGTCAGAGAAACAAAGATTGATCTGAGAGATACGGAGAAGACGGAGTCAGCTGAGTTTTCCAACTGACAAGATGTGGAGAGCAGATAAAGGAGTCATGCA